GAATGCTTAAAGAATTTAACAGCTCCCCCTGTGCGTCTGCAAAAGAGCAGCTCATTTTCCCTGTGGGTTGGGAAGTATGCATCTATGCATGGGTTTCTGACTTGTACAGATGTGAACCTAACCTTAAAGCTGGCCATACATTATACAATTTTCTTGTACAATGTCTGTGCAAACTCCTTTAGATTTACCTTCAACTAAGTAGTGCAAAGGTCTGATTGGATACAACTTTAAAGTTTGATCTCATATTTTTTTGATAAATCTAAAGGCAAATTGTACAATAAGATAGTATAAATGTATGCCCAAATTAAAGGCTTGTTTAGACATGCTGCCAGGGGGCATTAAAAAACTGGTTTGAGCCCCTCAACTGCCCACCTAAACAGCAGCATGCAGCCGCTCACAGCAGTACACATGCTGCAGCTATGATACTTTCATTAGCAGCCATGGAAAAAATTAAAGACCAGGTTCACCTTTAGAAAATAAATAAAATGCAAATTTTTGGAGGGAAAAAAAAAAAAAAAAAAAAAGCATTTGTATTTTTTTCTGAAGCCTGCAGAACATTGCACCTACGATCAGCAGATCGTGGGTGCAGTGTCAGGTTCCTGCAGACTCTATGAGAGCACTCACTTATAGGTGTAAAAAGCAATCAGTGTAAAAAAAAAAAAAAAAAAAATCACTCTCCACAAGTAGTACAGTGTCACTATGGTGACACTGTACTGCTAGGGTGACAGTATGTAAAAAATAAACAAAACAAAAAAAAAAAAACAGCAATATAAAAAAATAAAATGTAAAAAATGTTTTTGAAAAATTATAATTTTTTTTCTAAACTAATTTGGGCTATTTTTTGTTTTACCAAAAAGATAGCTGAATACATTTTTGCCAAGATTTATGAAGAAAGATTATTTATTTGCAAAGATTTATAAGAAAAACACTTTCAAAATTTTTGGTCTTTTATTTATATAGCAAAAAAATTAAAATCCCAGTGGTGAATAAATACCACCAAAAGAAAGTTTTATCTGTCTCAAAAAAATGGTAAAAAGTTCATATGGGAACAGTGTTGCATGACCGTGCAAATAGGCATTCAAAGTGTGATAGCACTGAAAACTGAAAATTGGCCTGGGCAGGAAGGGGTAAAAGTATCTAGACTTGAAGTGGTTAAAGTGGAATAGCACTTCATCTGAGCACCATGAACCAAAAATGCTATTTAATTCATTGTGAATATTCAATGCAAACTCCTCCATCCATCCATGCTGTATTTTACTGAGAAATCACTTTGAAATATACCCCCTGGCATTTCTGGCAGTGGCCATGTTGAGTAAGGACAGATGATTCATGTAGCATTTACTTCCTGGAATCCATCTGCCCTTAGCTCAGGCATTGGCTGAGCTGAGAATCCTCCCTCCCCTCCTGAAGACTGCTGGGATGTATGACAAAATTTGCCTAGGCATGGAAACCAGGAAGTAACTGAAGAAATGTAAAAAAAAAAAAAAAAAAAATATATAAAACAAGTTAACATGATATACTTCCCTATCCATTTACTAATGCTAGCAGGGTAAGGATTAAAAATAGAGTTGATTGAGAGAGTGAAGCTCCGCTTTAAAGAGGAAGTTTAGTCAAAACCTAAGGCTAAACCTGCTCCCACCTCTATTATAACTAACCCTGTAAGGAAAAGATTTGTATACTTACCTAACCTGAAGTCGCTCCAGCCTGGCAACCATGATCAGCTGTCAGCAGCGGCTTCAGTATGGAGGAAGGACAGCCAATAGATGCTCCGTAGTAACTCTATAGGTGATGTGTCATCTCCTAGGCATTTCCAACCATTGTCAGCGATCTTTCCTCTACACAGAATAGGTAAGTAAACAGATATTTTCTTTACAGGGTTAGAAAGAATAGACTTCGAATGAAGTTTGGAATAGGCCTAGCCTTTGTTAGATTTTGACTAAAATTTCCACTTTAACCACTTCCTGTCCGGACACTTTTACCCTCTTCCAGTCCAGGCCAATTTTCAGCTTTCAGTGCTATCACACTTTGAATGACAATTGCACAGTCATGCAACACTGTACCCATATGAATTTTTTAGCTTTTTTTGAGACAGATAAAACTTTAATTTGGTGGTATTTATTCACCACTGGGATTTTTATTTTTTTGCTATATAATGAAAAAGTCCAACCATTTTGAAAAAAAGTGTTTTTCTTATAACATTTTGCAAATACAATCTTTCTTCATAAATCTAGGCCAAACTTTAATCAGATATCTTTTTAGTAAAAAAAAAAAATAACCCAAATTAGTTTAACCAAAAATTATAATTTTTCAAAAATGTTTTTTTACATTTTTATATTTATGGGTTTTTTTTTTAACATACTGTCACCGTAGCAGTAGAATGTCACCATAGTGACACTGTACTACTTGTGGGGGGCGATGAAGATTATTTTTTTTTAAACCAATTTTTTTAAACCCATAAAGGCTGTAAAAGCAGTTGTTTCTCCTGCTCTCTGTTTGCATTCTTGCAGCCATTGACAAATACCGTGAGAGCTGTGATTGGTCACAGCTTGCCATATGGTACAAGGCTGTAGTGAATAGTCTTGAACTATGTGACCTCTGACCATTCAGTTTTCACTAGTAGTAAGCAATGATGTCAGAAGTGATCACATGATCGGAACCTCACACAGAGGTCCCGTACAGCGATTGGTGTTCTCCGGACACAGCAGGCACCGGATTGCAGTGCCGCGTGCTCCCAGGGAGCGAGCACAGGCAGGCAATGCGGGAGGATGTGTATAAATGGCCACCTGCTCCCGTGGTTAAGGACTTGTACTCATCTGCAGCAGCCTTTGCCTCCACTTACCTACTCTGGAGCCGCTCTGATCACATGATCTCTCCAACAGCGGCCCCTGTGCAGAGAAGAGATCACTGACAATGGCTAAAAATGCCTGGGAGATGAAGTCACCCATAGGTTTACTATGGGGCATCTGTTGTCGGCTATCCTTCCTCTACACAGAAGCCGCCACTGACAGCTGATCCTGTCATTGGACTGGCTTCAGAATAACTTACAGATATTTTCTTTACAGGGTTAGATAGAATAGGCTTAGAATGGGGGTGGGAGTAGATTTAGTCTTAGTTATGACTGAACTTCTACGTTAGAGAAGTGCAGTTGAAGCTCTTTTGGCCGTACTTCTCCTGCTGATCACAGGAGTGCCATTCATTCTGCACTCCTGTGACCTGTTTTTAGCTGACAGCGGGCTGAAACCCGCTGTCAGCTGATGTCACTCAGCCGGTTCATGCTAGGGAAAGATCCAGACTTTAAAGAGTCTGGAGCGGGACCTGGTTCAGCCTGTTAGTAATCACTGAGAGCCTGAGCCAGCTGCTCCCACCCCAGTGATCGTGGGGGTGGGAAAGATCAGACAGTGGTGACTGACAAGTCACCACTCTCTGCTCTCTAGTTGTGAGAACTCAGCGATCAGCTGTCATGTGATGGCTGAGTTCTCACACTTCAAGCCGGTGGGGGACAGATACAGCATCGGACCAATGCTGCATCCACCTGGGAAAGTATGATTTGAGAAAAAAAAATAAATTTCTCTTTTAACCACTTGCCGACCGCAGATAGCTGAATAACGGATTCACCGCGGCCGGCCAGTCCTGGGAGGGTGTCATATGACGTCCTCCCAGAACACACCCTCCCGCACGCCCCAGGGAGTGTGCACCCAGCGATCTCCATTATTGCTGTGTCCTAAGAACACAGCTGATCACGTGATGTGGTAAAAGGCCAATCACAGTGGCCTTTTACCACGTGATCAGCCATGTCCAATGACACACTGATCACCAGGTAAATGCAGTTGCTGGTTATTGGCTGCACTTTCCTCAAGGCGTCACAGCGTGAGGAAAGTATTGCCAATAACCGGCAATTGTCAGAGGACAGATCGGCACCGATCATCAGGGCACTGATGATCTGTGCCCAGCAGTGCCACCCACAAGTGCTGCCCAGCAGTGCCACCAGTCAGTGCCTCCCATCAATGCCCATCATTGTTGCATATCAGTGCAGCCTCATTAACGCTCACCAGTGAAGGAGAAAAATTACCCGTTTGCAACATTTTATAATAGAAATAAAGAAAACTTTTTTTTCCCACTTTGGCTTTTTTTTTTTTTTTTAAATAAAACACCCAGCGGCGAGTAAATACCACCAAAAGAAAGCTCTATTCGTGTGAAAAAATGATAAACATTTCATATGGGCACAGTGTTGCATGACCACGCAATTGTCATTCAAAGTGCAACAGCGCTGAAAGCTGAAAATTGTCCTGGGCAGGAAGGGGGTATAAGTGCGCGGTAGGCAAGGGGTTAAAGCACAACTTTGCCCTGATTTTAAAAACCTGCAAACAGAACATTTACTGCAGAAGAGATCTACTATTCCTCTTCTGCAATAAAAGCATCTTACCTTCACAAGATGCTGTAGGAACATACACAGAACAGCGCATGTGTAGCTCAATGTACATTCTCAGCACACCTTGTTGCAGGGATGAGCGCCTACATGCATGCGCAGAAGTAATTTTATCCTGGCATGGCCAAGGACCCAAAACCTGGAAGAATCTGGGAAGAAGCCACTAGCCCTGTGAAGGCGATCCTAGATATTGCATTGCTGGGGGGAAGTGACTATTGAGTGACAACCCAGCAGTGCAAGTAGTAGACAGAGGGTTGTCACTCTAACAGGAAGTGCCTGAACAAGGATCTCCATGGCAGGATCTCCCTAAAAGGAAGCTGCAGAATTTCAAAGAGTGAAAACCCTGGGAAAGAGAGGAATATGGTAAAGCTTATTGCAGTGATTAGCTTCCCATACGGTTTCCCCCTAGCCCAGGCCTGCTCAGGAGAAGAGAGGAGTGCGGGGATAACAATACCAGGCTTGGTGCCAGTCATCCCACCAGGGGGAAGCGGCCTGTACCAGTGGAGTACGGCTTGCACAGTCACGTGATGATAGGCACCGGCATCCCCCCTCCCCCCACGGCCTCCCCGCTCACCGCTTTCTCCAGGTGCTGCCGGGCCAGCTCGCTGTTCTTGGTATGGTGATATAGGACGGAGCCGAGCTGCAGATGAGTCCGGGCCTCGATGCGCTGCGGCGGCTTGAACTGGAAGACGGCCTGCAAGCAGTGCACACACAGCCGGATCTTGGGCGGGCTGGAAGTCCGGAAATGTTCGGCGAAACCCAGCAGGGCCAAGTACCACGACTCCGAGGCCTCAGCCTGCGTAGCTACCACTGCCGCAGCCGCCATCACTGACACCAACAACAAGGCCCCGTCCACTCCTCCCGCACAAAGCTCGCGAGAGCGGCGCCGCGCTGCAGCCTGGGACTTGTAGTCTGCCTATTGTCTGCGGGACCGCGGAGGGCGGGGCTGTGCCTCTCTGGGAGGGCGGGCTGTACCTCTCTGGGAGGGCGGGCTGTACCTCTCTGGGAGGGCGGGGCTGGCCCTTTCAGTGCTGCCTTGTCAGAAGCGGCCAAGGGAATGAGGCGCTGAGCAATACCAAGTGTTAGTATCGCTTCTATACCAGGGGCGGACTGACCATTTGAAAACTCGGGCACTGCCCGAGGGCCCAGGGTCAGTAGGGGGCCCCATGAGATGCCCCTGCTACCTTTTCCATAGGCTTTTTTGAGTTTGGGTAAGGACACAGGGGCCCCATGATCTCCTATTGCCCCGGGGCCCCATGAGTTGTCAGTCCGCCCCTGTACTATAGTATGGAATCCAACACTACACTCCTTCTTACAGCTAATCAATGTATTCTAGTATTACAGGTACTGTCAATTTACACAGCGCTGTACCCTAGGTTCACACCTAAGCGTTTTCCGCAGCGGTTTGCAGAAACGCAGTACAGTCCATTTAACATGATTTCCTATGGGACATGTTCACACCTAAGCGTTTTCACACAGTGCGTTTTTTGTAAAGGGTCAGGGACTTTTTGGAATGCAAAACGTGTTTTTGGTTCTATAGACTTCAATGGGAACACTTCAATTTTGCTGCGTTTTGCGTTTAAAATCTGCCTAGCAATAAGAAACACCCCCCCCAATAAATGAAAATGCTGCAAAAATGCAAGGCAACGCAGAAACTCCTCAAATGCAACCTACATAGGTGTGCACCTAGACTTACATACAGGGGCGGACTGACCATTCGAACACTCGGGCACTGCCGGAGGGCATAGGGTCAGTAGGGGACCCCATGAGATGCCCCTGGTACCATTTATAGGCTTTTTTGGGTGTGCTTTGAGTGTGAGAAAGGACACGGGCCCCATGATCCCCTATTGCCCAAGGGCCCCATGAGTTGTCAGTCCGCCCCTGCATACATATATACTGTATATTTTACATTCACATCAGTCCCTAATCGTCAAGGAGTGTACAATCTAAGCCTAGGTTCACACCTATGCAGGTTGTGTTTGACCAATTTCTGCCTTGCATTTTTGCACCTGACGCATTTTTGATGCGTTCTGTATTTTTTTTTTTTCTTGTTGCTAGGCAGATTTGAAACACAGCAAGAATGCACTACACACTTTTCTGCAGCATTTCCATTGAAGTCTATAGAACCAAAAACGCAAATTTTTGCATTCAAAAATGTCCCTGACCCTTTCCAAAAAAACACGGAGATGTGAACAAGTCCCATGGCAAATCATGTTAACCTCCCTGGAGGTATTCCCGAGTGTAGCTCGGGGTAAAGTTTCAGCAACACAAAGTGGTAACCCCGAGCTACACTCGGGGGAATTACCCTGCAGCGTTGCTCCGGGATCTGTTCTTCACTTAACTTGTCCTGCGCTCCCGCGATGTCCCTCCTGCAGTGTCCCCGGCAATGTCCTCTGGCCGATGCCAGCATCTGTCTTCCGGGTTCCGTTCCCTGCGATGTCAGGACGTACGGGGACAGAACTGGCGGGAAATTTGATAGTTGTAAAAGTGACATTCACTAAATACACTAAAATCACATAGTAAAACATTACTGTATCAAACCATTTCACATACATTTTGTCCCTAGTGCTTTGTCCTGTGCCCTGCCTGCATTTTTACTGTTCTTTCTGCCTGGCAAACTGAGAAATGTCCACGGCGTCCAAAAAGCGTCCCTTTAGGTCAAAAGCGGTTTTAGACCAGCTAGAGAACAGCGATAGTAAATCAGAACGACTTGCAGAATTGAGTGATAATGATTCGTGGGGAAATTCGTCATCAGACACTGAAAACGATTTTGCGACTTTGCTCAGTGATGTGCGAACTTGGCGCTATATTTCAAATTTCAGTGTTTTTGGTTTGATTATATTATTGAATTAAATTTATTATTATTATTTTTATGATTACTTATTATATTATAATTTATAATTTTGTGTTTCAAATTTTATCCTACCCGGGATGTTTACTAGACTCTTGTTCGGACAGATTTCAGTGAGTTATTCCTAAAAATTACAGGCCTACAATAAGAAAACAACATATTTCCATGCAAAAAATGTACCGCTTTGAGCACAGAAATACTGACATAATCAGACCGCTAGGGAGGTTAAAATCAAAACAGAAATGTAATATATTGTAACCTGTCAGACCTTTTTTCGTTTTGCTTCTGATGTACATTTGACAGTTTGGAAGGATTTGAAAGTAAACGTTTTAAAGCAGAACTAAATTCAATGATTTAACTGCTTCAAAAAACTGTTAAATTCTTGGCATGCCAGGAATGCGAACTGTCACATTTGCTTTTCCTCTCAACCAAACTGTCAAACCATCAAATGGCTGTTGTCATAACTGACCACATGTGCAGCATCATGGCAATTGCAGATCCAAGAGTAGCTAAAATGGCAGCTTGCATGGTTGAAAAGGAAAGGAGGGTTTAGTTCCGCTTTCATTTTTTTTATTTTTGTTCTTATACACTAAACTCATTTACATTTCAATTTGCGGCCATTTGATTTTCTGTTGAGTCTAAATTGTTTATTTCCTTAACCAAGTCAATGTGAACACAAACAGAAGTAGAACATATGCAACTTTAAGCCGTGGTTCACACTGGATCTGACTTTGAAATTGTGCGACTTTACAATTTTAATGCCGCATGTCAGTGTGACTTCAGGTGCGATATGGCAGATATCTGTGCGACTTCATGCACAGATGTCTATGCAAGATGCCCCTGAAATCGCAAAAAAATAATGTAGGAGCCTTTTCTTCAAATTGGTGCAGCACTGCAAAGTCAGAGTTTCACCGATTTGAACGGTACCATCGCTGACAATGACAATTTGAATCGCATGACAAGTCGCATCGGTGTGAACCAGGGCTTAATGGAACTAAATCCAACGCTTTAACTGTTTTCCAAAGCAGTTGCATTCACGGAATGCCATGAAATATAACTGTCACAGCTGCTGTTGCTGTCAACCAAACTGTCAATCCATCAAATGGCTGGCATCATACCTGATCACATGTGGAGCACCATGGTAACTGCAGATCAAACACAGGCTATGATGGCAGCTTCCCTGACTGTAAAGGATAAGAGGGTTTAGTTCCACTTTAAAGGAAGTCTATGGTCACAGCATACACTTTCATTCTATAACATCAACATTGTAATACCAATACAAACAAAAGTCATTTTGATATTAGCAGATTTATGTACACTAACAAACTGAAATTTTGAAATTCCAGCTCACACTTTATAATCAGCTACAGCAAACATTGTTTTTTTTTACCTGTGGGACCTGGGGAGCTTGTGTTTTTGAAAAACAACAGACTTGCTGGTTGGATCACCAGATGGAAATAAAATAAAGAAAGCCTAAAAAAAGAAAATGAATGCAGCCATCACATCTAAGAATTGGTAAGCCGCAATATTGCTTTTGGGTTCAATACCACTTTAAAGCAGAACTCTGGGCAAAGAACAGAATACACAGCTAATATATATACACATATATATATATATATATATATATATATATATATATATATATATATATATATATATATATATATATATGTAAGCTGTTTTATCTGACAAACATTTTGTATGTCTATTTTGTTATTTTGTTACACAGAACAGCACTCCTAAAGAGTTGTCATGTGTTGCTCCATTGAACCATTTCCTGAGCCTGTAAAAAATGGTCTAAGACCCCGTTCACATTTGCATGACTTTGGACATCAAAGTCGCACCCCATGTTTTCCAATGACCATTCATATATGAATACCCACTCATATATGTGCGACTAAAAATTGCAGTGACTTCAAAGTAGTTCATGCAGTATTAGCCCAACTTTCATGCAACTTGAGGGCCATAGACCTTTTACATTTTTTTTGTATTACAGGTACTTATATAGCACTGTCAATTTATACAGCGCTTTACATATATATTGTACATTCACATCAGTCCCTGACCCTCAAGGGGTGTACAATCTAAGGTCCCTAACTTACATTCATACAAACACATACTAGGGCCAATATAGACAGGAGCCAATTAACCTACCAGCATGTCTTTGGAGTGTGGGAGGAAACCAGAGTACCTGGGGGACACCCACAGGCACAGGGAGAGCATATAAACTCCAGGCAGGTAGTGCCATGGTTGGGATTCAAACCAACAAGCCTAGTACTGCCAGGTGGAAGTGCTAACCATTTATCCACTGTGACTTCAATGTTAACCCTCAAACGTTGCACGAAAATTGAATGTTTTGCGCAGAGCAGTGATGCAACAGTGGGTCCAACTTTGCAGAGGGACAAGTCACATCCAACTTGCACCCATCCAAATTTGCGTGAAAGTTGCATCAAATTTGCCCCCCAAAGTCACACGACAAGTATAAATGGGAGATTCTCATCTAAAGTTTATGTGCTAGTTTATCTGAGGGTGGTCAGAACACCTCTGCATGCCCAGCTACCTTACTACAACTACCTTTTCATTCTACCATTGTTAAGATGTCAACCTGGCAGAAGAGTTCATAGGGTGACAAGAACGTGGCATAAGCTATGGCAAAAATCCAAAGTATGCATCCATGGCCATGTCACATTGGAAGCAGCGCTTTGTCCTGCATGGGGATGCTCAGAACACCTGTGTATCACCATGTGGCCAGTGGTGTATTTAGGTTTTGTGCTGCCCTAGGCAAAAATCGGACTCCCCCCATCCTCGCAGAGAGAGACTGACATTGACCAACAACACCCCCACCCCCCAACCCCACCCATAGAGAAATTCACTCACCTTTACAACTCCAGACATCCATGGGAACGAGAGTCGGGCTCTGCATATACCGTCAAGCAGTCTGCAACCTCTCTTGGCTCCCACCTGGTCCCCATGCC